TCCTCTGAGCATGGCCAGGAGTGGTCCTCAAGTACAGGGCCAGGAGTAAGCCCTGAGCACAGCAGGTGTTACTGCAAAACCAAAACAGTAAACAGGCAAAAAACTAATGAAGGAGTGAAGCCTGCTGGAACAGAGATGAACATTGAAGACATTAGGCAGTGAAGGGGAGAGGCCAGTCCCAGGAGACCACCTGCTCCATGATGGGCTTTCTGTGGACTATCCATAGGGATATGGAGAGATGGGGGAGGGGTGGAAGGGAGAGAGAGAGAGAGTAGAGAGATGGAGGTTTCGTAGTGGCTAGCGGCAGGAAAGGGGAAGCAGGGAAAGGGAATGACACTCTGGGTCCGGGAGGCCAGTGAGGACAATATTCCCTAGTTGGTGTTGCTGCTTGCACAACCTCACAAGGATGTCCAGCAACTGTGTCATTGTACCACGGAGCCCGGTGGATTCAAGGCATGTGAACTACAGCTTCCTTCAGATGCTTTTAGTTCAAAAAACTGCCCCTGGGTAGAAGATGGGGTACCAGCTGGGCCAGGATGCTTCCCCGAGCACCCCTGGAACTATAGTGATGTGTCTCTCGGTTCCCTTCCCAGCTCCCCTTTTCAGGCCATGCCTCCTTTACTTTGCTGTGGTCTGAACTCCCCAGTCCCCCGCCCCCCACACACACATTCTGCTTCTTGCCCTCTGCCCAGGCTCTCCCACCCAAGGGCCCCCTCTGTACTCACCAAACAGGTTTGGATAGAACAGTCTGTTCGTATTTCCTAGTAACCAACTGTCCACAAGGAGAGGCTCCAGGGTGTGGAGTGGGGAGTCCCATCTCCCCCCCACCCCCCACGCCATTGTTTGGTTACGTCCTGGCTGTCACCATGGTCTCCTGAGAGCTTGGCAACCTGGGGGCGAAACACAATCTGGGGACTCAGAGCAGGTGCAGAGGGCGCAGGGCCCGGGGGTTCTCCTTTCCCAGGGCCTTTGTCTAGAGGGAGGGAAATGCTTCTGATGGTCTCAAGACAGTGCGGCCCCAGGGGCGGATCCTGGCTTCTAGCACCCAGGGGTGAGTGAGGTCACTTACCAGGTTGGACGGTCCTGGGCTTCTGCTCAATCCTCCATGGACAAGAGGGCTGAGCTGTGGCTCTGGGCAGGCTCTGAGTCTGACAGGCTTGGGTCAAATCCTGACTTGCCATGGATGACTGGCTATCTGACCTTGGAACATTCCTTCCTGGGGCTGGAGCGATAGCACAGCGGGTAAGGTCATTGTTTGCCTTACACGCAGCTGACCCAGGTTCAACTCCCGGCATCCCATATTGTTCATTGAGTCTCAGGAATGATCCCTGAGCTCAGAGCCAGGAGTAAGCCCTGAACACTGCAAGATGTGCCCCCCCCCCAAAAAAAAACCCCAAATATTCCTTCCTCTCTCTGACCGTCCTCTCTCTCATTGGCTGTCAAAGGGGGACATCCTAGCGCTAGGAGCTATCTCAGGGTGCAGGCCCAGGAGTGGTGCTAGCTTCCCAGAACTGCAGGGCCCCAAGAGCACCGCCAGGTGTGGTCCTGGTCACTCCTGGCCTAGGCCCGTTTGACTGGCCCTTATTAAAAAAGAATACCCAAACTTATTTGCAACTGCTTGGGAAATGATGTAACACTCTCAGTCCAGAAGAAATGATCAATAAATAGGAGACTATGGACTCCGGGAAGGCAGAGCCCAAAGCACATTATTTATTAGTTACCGGGCTCTCCTAGTGCTCTCCTGAAGGTGGTTTTTTTTGTTTTGTTTTGTCTTTCTTTCTTTCTTTCTTTCTTTCTTTCTTTCTTTCTCTATTTCTTTTTTTTTTAGCCACCGACTACTTACTCCCGACTCTGCTCAGGGTCACTCCCGACAGGGCTCAGGGTACCTTATGTGGTGCTGGAGAGGCCAAGTGCAAAGGAGGTGCCTTCCTTCCCCTCCATACTGTCTCTCCAGCCCCTTTTACGTGGTTTTCACCTCCCCACACCAAACCTCTGGCCAAGTCACCCCTTCCACTAGAATGTTCTTACCCTGGTGCTCCACTTCGCTGGGGGAGCCTCAGAATGGATGCACAGCACAGACTCTTGAGAACCACCCAGAAATAACCCCTAAGCATGGAGCTGGGAACAGTCCCTGAGCACTGCTAGGTCTGGCCAGAAAGCCAAAAGCAAAGGCAAACAAGCACAAAGAAAGTTCTTCCCTCTTCTCCAGCCTCCAGTAAACAACATCCTCCCCATAAGCCAGATACCACGTGTTTTCTTTTGGGGGTGACTTCTCAGTCTGGGTCCTCTATGACAGTGCTCAGAGGTAGTCTGGTGGCACTACAACTGAGTGGCTTAACTGTTTTTAATCCCTCAGTTTGCTGGTCTGTAAAATGGGTTTATGGAGGCTGAAGAAAGTGCAGCGGGTAGGGCACTTGCTTGCCTTGCAAGGGGTCAACCTGGGTTTATTCCCTGGAATCCCATCTGGTCCCCTAAGCACGACCAGGAGTAATTTCCGAGTGCAGAGCCAAGAGTAACCCTTGAGCACTGCTGGGTGTGACCCCAAGCCCCAAAATAAGTAAAATAAAATGGGCTCGGTCATGATGGGCATGTAATTCGCCTTCAGCTGGTGCCATCCACTATGGTAGTCACAAGTCATATGGGACACTTTAAAGTAAAATTAATCAAGTTTCAACTGGAGAGCAGAATCCAAGCTCTCCAGTCTCACGGCGTGTCCCAGGTGGACAGCCCCAACCAGAACATTCTGTCAGAGTTCTCTCCCTCTCTTCCGTGTTGGTGTGTGCCCGCCGGTGGGACTAGATACTCTATATCTCTTTGTGATTTGGGTGCTTAGCTAGGAAAATACTTAAAGGTGTCTCTGAAAGGCTCCGGGCCCCCTGGGAGGACCCCAACCCCTCCTCCTGGCACTCTGATGTCCTCAGAAGCGGGGTGCCCCACAGTGAAAGGATTAGAGCGAGAAAGGAGACTGGTGAGAAACAGGCAGGATTAGGCGCTCCCGAGAAGGGAGAAGAGGAACCCAATCTGGCCTGGTGGCAAGTGGGTGTAGACGCAGCCGGGGCTTGGCAGAAAGAGGCAGGAATGCGAAGAGAGGCAGGGCTGGGCGTGGAGCGTTACCTAACTGCTCCCCAGCCCGCTCTGGTGGCACCCCAGATGGGGGAGATGGCCTCCTTGTCTCCTACGGGACCCCATTCCATCGGGGGCCTGAGTGGGAAGAGGTCCACAGCCCTAACCCATGTCATCTGGTCGAGAGACCCTGAAAGAGCCCCTGAGTCAACCCAGGAGGTGGGGCCCTGGACAGGGGCGTGAGCGCCAGCTCAGCCCTTGCCACCAACGCTGGCCCAGGGTCCCTGCAACCCCAGAAAAGGTGACAGCGTGGCTGTACTGGGGTGCCGGGCAGATGTGCCCTTTTGAAGTCCCTCTGCCAGGTGCGACCCTCACCCGTTTGTCTTCATCCTCCCGTGACCACTGAAGGACCCCGCAGGCGCAGACTGTCCCACTGGACTGTGAGGTGAGGGACAGAGAGATAGAGCAGCGGGTAGGGCGCTTGCCTGGCCTGCAGCCTACCCGGGTTTGATCCCCAGCACCCCATATGGTCCCCCGAGCTTTGCCAGGGGTCACTGCTGGACACAGATCCAGGAGCAGTCTCTGAGCCCTGCCATGTATGGCCAAATAATAAAAACAGAATGACGCAAGTGACAGAGGTGCCATCATGGAAGGGAAGTTGGGGTGCCAGGTAGCATGGCAGGACTGCAGGGGCAAGGGAAACTTCCAGGCTTCACACACACACACACATACACACACACACACACACACACACACACACACACGAATGCCCCTCACTGATTGGGTTTTTTTTTTTTTTTTTTTTGCTTTTTGCTTTTTGCTTTTTGGGTCACTCCTGGCTCTGCACTCAGGAGTTACTCCTGGCAGTGCTCAGGGGACCATATGGGATGCTGGGAGTCGAACCTGGGTCAGCCGCATGCAAGGCAAACGCCCTACCCGCTGTGCTATCGCTTCAGCCCCACTGATCGGGTCTTTAAATCCCAAGAAATGCTGTCAGCGCTCCACTTCTTCCTGCGGGCACAGGGAATGGGGGATCCCTGGCAGGGCCCCTCGTGTCTGCAGGACCTTAGAGATGGGGAAGGTGCTGTGCTGCTCCTCCCAGGTTAGACATCTTCAGGGCCTGTACCCCACAGTCCGTTGCGAAAGGCACCTGGAAAGGGAGCATGGACCCGGGGTAGCAGCAAGCCTTTGACGGGGGTGCAGCTGAGCGCGCAGCTCTCGGGCTGGGGAGATAGGACAGCAAGGAAGCCACTTTCCTTGCATGCAGCCGACCTGGGCTTGTTCGCCAGCAATGCACCCGGTACTCCCACCAGGAGTGATCCTTGAGCACCAACGATGTGACTCCACATGCCTCCGACCTCAAATAAGTCTTTCTCTTTTTGGGGGGGGGTACACATTTGGTGCTCAGCAAGGATCCTTCCTGGGAGGGCCATGTGCAAGGCAAGAGCCCTGCCTGCTGTATCATCACTCTGGCCCCTTTAAGTTTTCTTCTTCATGCTTGTTGCAAAAGAAGGATATGAGCCTCCCAACCTTGGCAAAGTGATTTTTGGACCTATCCAGGCTCAGACCCCTGTCCTGTCAGGGAAGTAGGAAAAAATGACCTTTGGAGACCCCTAGGTGCGGGGTCTCTTTGGCATGGAGGCGCAGACACCTCGCGTGGAGAGCCGGTCTCCAGGGCCCTGGCTCCTGCAGGGTCTAGAACTCTTGGGCGGCTCTGCCCGAACTCCCCCACGCCAGCCTCATTCCTCCTCCCAGCCTCCACCACCTGGCAGGAGCCTGGTGACCCATCCTCTGGTGCCTGCCCCCCACCACAGACCTGTCCGGCCGCCAAACACGAGCCTGCACTTAATCCCGATTATGTAATGTGCAATCCAACAGTTGGCCAAGGAGGCGGGGCCTGGGCCACACCCAGGAGCAGGGGCAAAAGGCCGGAGCTGGTCAGAGCCCCAGACCCGGCTCAGCCTCCACTGGAACCCCCTGCTCAGGGCACAGACCCCACCTCAGCCTCCTGCAACACCATGAGCGGCCGCGTTGGAGACCTCAGCCCTAAGCAAGCGGAGACTCTGGCCAAGGTGAGCGCTGTTTGCCCTGGAGAGTGACCCTCGACACCCGTCCTCTCTCTGCTCACTCAACATGTCCTTGATGTGGTCTCTGCTGTCGCCTTTCCCAGGGTTTGGCCCCCAGGGCCCGGGGGACATCAGCCGCGGTCAGGGCAGAGTCTGGGAAACAGCCCCACATCCAGGCAGACATGGGGCTGCCAGATGGAGACAGACTTCTTATCCAGGACCCACAGCCAAAAACTTTCTTTGGTCGCAGGTCCCCACTTGCTACCTCCCAGCCCCCGGGGGGTGACTTACATGGTGGTCCTGTTCCCTTGTTGGGGCCAGCGAGCAGGACATGTTATCATCCTCATCCTCGTGGTGAATGGAGAAGAGGAGGCAGAAGTAGTAGCCGTGTTTGAGGCTGACGAATAGTACAGTGGGTAGGGCTTGTGCTATCTTTCATGCAGCTGACCTGGTTCCATCCCCGGCACCCCATATAGTCCCCCGAGCCCCGCCAGGGGTGATCCCTGAGCTCAGTGAAGAGTAAGCCCTGAGTACCGCCGGGTATGGTCCCAAACACCAAAATAATAATAATAATAACAACAATAATGTGTTAGCCGTAGTTTTTGTTTTGTTTTGTTTCTTTTTTTTTTTTTAGAAAAAAAATGGTATCCCAAGAGGCAGAAGCTTCTGCAGGCTGAGCTTCAGGCTGAGCTTGAAAGAATCCAGCCCCTATCTGCATTCCACGCCTTTGCCCACCCCCCCCGATCTAGCCATCTCTTCTATCCACTCATCCCCACCCTCCTTCCCTCTACTCATTCCCCATCTCTCCTTCCTTCCAGTCCGCCACTCACTGACTTCTCCATGGTTCCACCCTGAGAGCTTTCTCCTTGCACCCATCCGCCCGGCCCTCCAGCCACCACCAGGGCCAGTCAGGGTGGGGGCAGGCAAGTGGGCAGTGAACGGGGTTCCAGGGCTCAAGGACAGGTCCCCTCAGCCAGCATCTCTCTCCCCAGTTCCGGGAAAACGTCAAGGATGTGCTGCCCGCCCTGCCCAACCCTGACGACTACTTCCTCCTGCGCTGGCTCCGAGGTGAGGGCAGAGGTGGGGGAGGCTGGAAAAGGGGCAGGGGCAGGGAAGGAGGATTCCATCCAGGTCCCCAGGGCCCTCTTGAGCACCCAGAGGCCGGGCACAGAACCGGCTGCCTCCACCCCATCTTCCCCCTTCCGCCCAATCCACAGCTCGCAATTTCGACCTGCAGAAATCGGAGGCGATGCTTCGCAAGGTGAGAGCCTTCCCACCTGCCCGGGGTGTTTGGGGAGGGGTGTGGAGAGGAACAGCTCTCTGGCCCCTCCCTCCCTCCCTCCCTTCCTCCCTCCCTCCCGTCTCTGGGGTGCTGGGTGTCGGGTGGGGTCCAACCCCTGTTGTCCCTTTCAGTACATGGAGTTCCGGAAGACGATGGACATTGATCACATTCTGGACTGGCAGCCCCCCGAGGTGAGTCGGCATCCCCACCCCAGAGGCACAGATGTCACCCCCAAGCAGCCAGGGGGTGGGGGTGAGAGTGTCTCAAATGCTGCACAAATGGCATGTCCCTGAGAGGCCTGGGCGCACGGTGTGTCCGAGCGTTTCTGGCGCTGGATCCTCTGAGACCTGGGCTTAGACCATCTGTACAGCCAGACTCAGAAGGGCTGGGGCACAGGCCAGGACTATGCAAAGTTCTGAGTTTGATGCCCAGCACCACATGGGTCCCGAGGACTGGGTGTAGCCCTGGACATCCTCAGCACCACTGGGCCAAGTGTCACGGAAATGGTCGTTACAGAGATCTCCCACCCACCCCACCCCCCAAAAAAGAACAGAACTTGGTTGCATGCTGTCACTGAATCACACTACTGGCCCTATGTCTCAGATGAGGATATCGAGGCCCAGTATAGGGAACAGAGCTTCCCCCAAGGTCCCACAGTGCACAGGACAGCTGAGCCCAGGCCTCTCTGTGCCCCAAGTCCCAGGGCAGGATCACCACAGCCAGCCTATGCCCTGTCCCCATACCCCTGGGACTCCATCACCGTCTCCTCTTCTAGTGGGAAAGAAATTTAGTTCTGGGGCTGAAGCGGTAGCACAGTGGGTAGGGCATTTGCCTTGTAAGTGGCCGACCCGGGTTCGAGTCCCAGCATCCCATCTGGTCACCTGAGCACCACCAGGAGTGATTCCTGAGTGCAGAGCCAGGAGTCAGCCCTGAGCATCGCCGGGTGTGACTCCCCCTCCAAAAAATAAATTTAGTCCTCCTGGGGCTGGGAAGGACTTCCCCATCGCTGATGTCTCAGTCAGAGAATGGTGTCCATCATAATTTGTGTAGCAAGTGTTCTGGGCCACATTCTGGGTGGATCTGAGCCCCTCATAGTCCCCTGAGCACTGCCAGGAACAATCCCCAAACCCCGAGCTGGAAGTATGTCCTGGCACTGCTGGGGCTGGCTTCCAAACCAAAACAATCAATGAATTCAGTATTTCATTTTTTGAAACCCAGTATCACGTATTGTCCCCTGAGCACTGCCAGGAGTGATCCGCAGGCAAAGTGTCAGAAGAAAGCCCTGAGCATAACCAGATGTGAAAAAAAAAAGGGCTGGAGAGAGAGTGCAAGGCGCGTGGAGGAAAGTGAAGGCACGTGCCGAGCACTTAGCTCGAGTCGTTGCCTTGGTTTGAATCCCAGCGCTGCATATGGTCCCCCAGGCACTGCCAGGGGAACACCTCCTTAAAAAATACCTTCAAAATTAATTAGTTCAGTTTTTTATGATTAATAGAAAAGCTATTTAAACAGGAATATGTAGTCATAATTTTCAGATTTAGTATGAGATGCTCAATGTTCGGTCCAATTTTCCTTCACGGATAAGTTTTTCTTTCCTATCTCTGTCCATCTTAAAAATATAATACAGAAGAAGAGGGGCCCGATTCCAACCAGAGCTCCTACGAGGGAGGTCTTGGGAGTGGATTTGAAGTTGGGGTAGACATTTGCTGATCTTGCATAGGTCCAACGATGCAGGGCTGGGTCTTCGATGAGCCTGTGGCGACTGGGGTTGTTGCACTGCAGACGGTACTCCAGTTTAAGCCGGGATCTGATGGCCAGGCGCTCGGCCTGGGCCTCGCAGGCTTCCGGAGAGATGTACTTGGCGGCATTGAGGGTAGTGGGCAGGGTGGCGAGGCATGCCAGCTTGTACTCGGGGAACGACATCTTGGCCCCACAGTTGCGCCTCCCTAATTCCGTTTTTATAAAAACAATTAGCACCTTTGAGCCAGTTCATCTGAGATTTATCTTTGATGGTCCTGCTCTGAGCTAGGCTCTCTCTGCATGCCCCTCAATATTCTTTTTTTTTTTTTTTTTGCATTTTGGGTCACACCCGGAGATGCACAGGGTTTACTCCTGGCTCATGCACTCAGGTATCACCCCTGGTGGTGCTCAGGGGACCATATGGAATGCTGGGAATCGAACCCAGGTTGGCCGCATGCAAGACAAATGCCCTCCCCGCTGTGCTATCGCTTCAGCTCTGCCCCTCATTATTCTCACCCGCACAACTCAGGAAGGCATCACACGTGTCCCCGTCTCTGGAGGTCTCTGGGCAGGTGTCAAGGGCCAGGTTCTATGCATCTCTTCACTCCCAGGTGATCCAGAAGTACATGCCCGGTGGCCTATGTGGCTACGACCGCGATGGCTGCCCGGTGTGGTACGACATCATTGGGCCACTCGACCCCAAGGGCCTGCTCTTCTCCGTCACCAAGCAGGACCTGCTCAAGACCAAGATGCGGGATTGCGAGCGCATCCTGCATGAGTGTGACCTGCAGACCGAGCGGGTGAGAACCGGTGGAACAGCCGCAAGAGTGGGACAGGGGTCTAGGAGTCCCCCCCCCCACCCTGGCACTCTCCTCACACCAATCCTGCCACCTCTTGTCTGGGGGGTTTTGGGAAGTTCCCTTCCTCTCAGAGCCTCTTTGCTTTTCTTTCTCCTTTCTTCATTTTTTTAAGTTATTTTATTGAATCACTGTGAGACAGACCCTTACAAAGCTGTTCAGGACTGGATTTCAGTCACACAGTATTCCAACACCCATTTCTCCACCAGTGTACATTTCCCAGCACCAAAGTCCCCAGGTTCCCTCCCATCACCCCCGACCTCACACACCTGCCTGCCTTTATGGCAGGCACTTTTCTTCTCTCTTTCTTGCTCTCTCTCTCGCTCTCTCTCTCTTGCGCTCTCTCTCCTCTCCCCTCTCTCCGTCTCCCTCTCTTCCTCTCTGCATTTCCCTCTTTCTCTCTCTCCCTCTCTTTCTCCCTCTCTGCCTTTCCCTCTCTCTCTCCCTCTCTCTCTCTCTAAGCCTCTTTTCTTGCCTGCAAAACAAAGCTAAAGATTGAGGTAGCAAAGATTAAATCACGGTCACGGTCACAATCTTCCCATTGTTCATCGATTTTTGCTCGAGCAGGCCCAATAACGTCTCCATCGTGAGACTTGTTGTTACTGTGTTTGGCATATTGAATACGTTATGAGTAGCTTGCGAGGCTTTTCTGTGCAGGCGAGATACTCTTGGTAGCTTGCCGGGCTCTCCAAGAGGGGTGTAGGAATCGAACCCGGCTCAGCTGGGCAAGCTGCGCGCAAGGCAAATGCCCTACTGCTGTGCTATCACTCCAGCCCCTCTTAAGGTACTGTGATTTATAATACTGTTAGTTTTGTACATATATCATTATAATACCATGCCTGCCACCAGAGTACCCACTTCCCTAAACTCAGTTCTGTGGACCAACTCTCCAGTTCTGCTACCTTTGGCCATTTGTTGCTTCCTTACTGTGCATCCTTAATTTCTGCTTATAAGAGAGATTATTCTGTATTAATCCCTTTTCTTCTGACTCATTTAGCATAATACTGTCTAGTTCCATGTCTTAGCAAAGATTACATAAGACAGAGCAAATGTATGGCACAGCACAGGAGACCAAGTACAGATTTCTGAATAACATTCCCTCTGAGTCAGCTTTTGTGGTTCCTTCTCTCGTGATAACTTTCTGATAGCTCTCACACACACCTACCTCCTGCACTCTCCTACCTCTCCTGCTGGCCTCAAACTTAGCTGAAGTCTCTCCCTGACTCACATAAGGAGAACGAGACAAGGACCCAGGAGCACCCCTCCAAGTGAGTTAGGGTTTCCATAACTCCTGAGGAGAACTATGGTCACTTGGTTGCTTCTTGGTCTTCCCAGCTAGATTTGTAATCTTTTGGGGTTTTTTGGGGGAGGGGGTCACATCTGGCAGTGCTCAGGACTTACTCCTGGCTCTGTGCTCTGGGATCACTCCTGATGGGACTCAGGTGACCATATGGGGTTCAGGGATCAAACCTGGGTCAATTGTGCACAAGGCAAGCACCCTACTCGCTGTACTATTACTCTGGCTCCTAGACTGTGAATCTTTGAGGACAAGACGTATGCATTATTGTGATAGAAACATGGCATTCTGAGTGTCTGACACAATATAGATGCTTAATAAGTCTTCACTGGACAAATCGCATGACAAGTGGATAAGTCAGTTGGCAGTATAGAAGAATGGAGTAGTGAATTGATGTTTGGGGTGTCAGTGGGTGGCTAGATGGTACATGACTGATGCAGGTGTAGATGGATGCATGGACGATAAATAGATGGGTAATGGGTGGGCAAAAATGAATGGCGGTTGAGTATGTATGTGCATTCACTGCTTCGTCCCCTCTCTCCTCTGAGGAGTCACAGACTAGGCTTCTGTCTAAGTCTCTACCCAGCACCTTGAGCCACAGAACCAGTCCTTGCTCTTATGCTTACAGCTGGGGAGAAAGATCGAGACCATTGTGATGATATTTGACTGCGAGGGCCTGGGACTGAAGCACTTCTGGAAGCCTCTGGTGGAAGTTTACCAGGAGGTGAGGAGAGGTGCCCTGGAGCCCCCTGTTTACTTTAATGATCAGCTCAGATGGCCAAGACTCGGGAAACCTTCAAAAGTCTCTGGGAAGATTCTGCAGAATTGGCGTCAAGGACTCTTCTGTGAGGAGACCACGGGCCAGTTTCTACCAAGCCTCCTGCAGCCCCGTCGTCCCTAGTTCTGAGACAGATCACTTTTCCCCTCTCCTGTGTTTGGTTTCCTCAACTGCAGAATGGGGATGAGCGTCTGCATCCCAAAGAGATGTAGGGAAACCCGTGCATTGACCTGTGAACTGTATACACATTCTTGGCAAACAAGGAACATTTTAGCCAGGAGGAGTCTTTATGACTACTAGACTCCCATTATGGTAACATTTGTTCTAAAAATAATTGCTAGCATGTAGTTATTACCAAGAACCAGTGTTGGAAAGAAGGAAAACCCTTCCCAGCCCCAGCACCCTGCAGAGGGGAGATTGCAAGGGTGACAGCAGTAGAATGGGAGACAGGGGCTCTAACGGGGGTCTTTCTTGGTTCCACAGTTCTTTGGTCTTCTTGAAGAAAATTACCCAGAGACCCTGAAGTTCATGCTCATTGTGAAAGGTGTGTGGCAAGTGGCTCACTTTCCTGTCTCTGTTTCTTCACTGCCCTGGGGATGCTTATAGCTCCCCTCAACCCAGAGGCACAGGGAAGCAGGCTGGTTGCTTATCTTCATGCACAGCATAGAGTGACTGGAACAGAGTAAGTGTTAAATAAATGGTACCTCCTGTGGTTGACCTTGCTGCAAGAGGAGGCAGTTTCAACCACAACTCTCCAGGAATACCCACCTCACTCTTCCTGCCCATCTTGATATCTCCCTCCCCAAACCACCTTTGGCACTGGAAGATGACACAGTCCAATCTGTTCTTTCTTGTCTACAGAGGCCTTCAGTTGTGTTGTGTGTGCTCGAGATAACTGTTTTCCTTGCTGAGTTTTCTGTTCCTTGAAGACAAAGCCTCTGGTTTTCTACTTCCATCGTATCTATAGTCATCCCTGATAACATCCCTTACAGAACCAGGGCCATGTAGATAATCAAGGAGTATTTGGGTATCTGTTTGGATAGTTAGGTGGATAGAAGGATGGAAGTATGACATGTTTAATGATTGACTGGTTGGTTAATTAGTTGGTTGCTTGGTTGTTTGCTTAGTTTGCTGTTCATTTAGTTGGCTAGTTGTGTGTGCTGGGCTAGATGATAGCTTGGTTGGTTAGATTGACAATTTGGCATTTTGACTTGTGTGAGTGAGTGGTTGTTTGACAGATCAGTTAGTTGATTAGCTACTTTGCTATTTGTCTAGATTTTGGCCCATTGGGTAAGATAACTCAGGGCTTTTGAACAGTTGGCTGGTTATTGACGTGAATCTGTGACTTACTAGTGAGGGAAGTTAGTTGTGCAATGTGCTACATGTTCAACCAAAACATTGGCCAAAGTGTTGATTGTTGCTTGACTGCTGGGCAGTTGGTTGGTTTCTTGGTAAACTAATTAATGAACTGGTTGGAATGTGAATTGGTTGATGATTTGTTGACTGTGGGTTGGTTGATAGGTTGGATGGTTGAATAGATGATTGGTCAGGTGGATGTTTGTTGACTGGGTGACTAGTTGTTTGAACAGTTTGTCAAGTGTAGGCCATTGAAACTTCCCAAATCTATTGATACCTCTTTATATTGTTGAGTATGAGTAGTATGGAATAAATAGAATCAGAATACAAAATATTGTTATATGCTCCCATTTTTCTTGTTTGTATCTTTCTAGCCACCAAGCTGTTTCCTGTGGGCTACAACCTTATGAAGCCTTTTCTGAGTGAGGACACGCGCAGAAAAATTGTAGTACTGGGAAGTAAGTAGCTCCAGTTGCATTCCCTGATGCCTGTGCATGAATTTTGAAGCAAGGTTTGTCCATCATCCCATTCAGAAATCAAAATGTTACCCAGAGTCAGAGACTGTGCCTCCCCAAAGTGCATCTTAGACAATAGGATGTGAGTTATCTTAGCCTTATTTTCTGTCATTGGTGACTAATGCCTCCATAACTTCCTCCTGATTGATTGGTTTGATTACTAATCAACCTCTGGACTAGGGACCTCAGTGTTCTATCAATATTTATTACCTCAGTGCTTCTGAGGCAACCTAGATGAAGACAAGTAACAGAAAGAAGAGGCATTATTATGTGTGAAATCTAAGAAAACAAGATGTGACTAGAGCAGTACATTAATAATACATTGATTTTATGAATTATTGGGCAGCAAAAATTTTCATGAAAGAGAAAATTCATTAATTTTTTAAAATGTAGCCTATAGTATGATCTTATTTTGGTGAAAAAAATAGATGAAACTCTAGAAAGAGATGCAACACAATGTCAACTGTGGTTGGCAAGTTAATAGGTTGGCTTCTTATTGGGATTTTTATGGATTTTTTTCAAACTATGATAATAATCATTGCTTTATAAGCAGGAAAATCAATATTTTTTCAAATGATATGGAAGAAAGGAAGGAAGGCAAGAGTAAGGGAGAAATAAAGGAGTGAGAGGAGGGTGAAGGGAGGAAGGAGAGAGGGAGGGAGGGAAGGAGGAAGAGAAATAGCTTTGAAAATCTAACCAATGACCCTGAGCTTGGAGGATAATGTCTCACGAGCAGTATGGTCGGCTCACTGTATCGGGAGATTTGAGACTCTGGGGGGCCTCTGAGAAAGCTCTGTTTTCCCTCCTTCCTGAGACCTGAGTCTGCCTCTGCCCACTTCCCACTAGGATCTGGAGATGGTGGGTCACGAGGTAGACCCCAGACTCTGTGACAGTGTGGGTCATTGTCTCTGTAGATCTAGGTTTAAGTCTGTCCCCTGAGTGGTGCGTGGCACTGTGTTTGGCCCTGGTGCACCAGGCGCCTTTGTGCTCATTGAGGAAGTGTCATGGTGGAGAAGCAGTGGAATAGCCTGGGTTGGTTATAGGGCCAGGGCCATGGTGTTACCAAGGAATCCTGAATATTCTAAGAGCTCTGTGTAGAGCATGAGAATCAAACAATGGGCATATGATTGGGAGGAGAGGGTCCTTCCAAAAGCCCAGAGCTGGGGCCAGAGCGATAGTACAGCGGGTAGGGCGTTTGTCTTGCACGTGGCTGACCCAGGTTTGGTTCCCTGGCATCCCATATGGTCCCCCAAGCACTGCCAGGAGTAATTCCTGAGTGCAGAGCCAGGAACAACCTCTGAGCATCTCTGGGTGTGACCCAAAAAGAAAAAGAAAAAAAAAGGCGCAGAGCTGCCTCCTAGGGGTCAGGTTAGACCTGGAAATGCCACTGCCTCACTGTTGGGCCTCAGCAAGGTCCTTGACTTCACTGGGTTTCAAAGTGTCCATGAAACAGACAACCCTTCACTCTCGGACGGGGAGAACGTCACAAATGTATGAGCTTGTTGGCCAGTGGGCAGCACATTTCCAGGCAATAAGGTGCCTGGAGGTGTTTCCTGTACCCGGCGTTTAGGAGGCTTGGGCCATGGGCACTGTCAGCTTAAGTCTTGTAGAACTTCATCCCAGGCTCAGGCCCCCCTGGGGGATAGGAGTGTTTGCGGGTCTCCTGCAGGGCTGATAACCTCCCCTCAACTCCTCTGTCCTCAGCCAACTGGAAGGAAGGTTTGCTGAAACTCATAAGTCCTGAGGAACTGCCTGCTCAGTTTGGAGGGACCATGACTGATCCTGATGGGAATCCCAAGTGTTTAACTAAGGTATGGAGAGCCCTGGGAAAGGAGGGGAGACATGCATAGGGCTCAGGAAGACCTTGGAACTAAAAGGTCCCAGCCCTCCTGCTCAGGACTCTCAGAGGGCAGGCAGACAAGTAAGGAATGAGAATGCTGTGGGGGGAGGGAGCATACCTGGTGGTGCTTGGGGGAAACTCTTGGCTCTGTGCTCAGGAATCACTCCTGGCAGTGCTTGGTGGGAACCATGCTGCAGTGTTGGGTATCGAATTGGAGTTGGCTGCATTCAAAACAAGCACCTTAACCCCTACACTCTTGAGCCCCCTGAAGGGAGGCTCTTTTGATGCAGAGGATGAGTTGGGAGGGAAAGTTTCTAAAGAACTGACTTAGCCCACCCAAAAGGTGGGGCTTCCCCTAGGGGAGAGGGGAGACAGTGGTGAGCAGAAGATGTGCAGGAACTGGGGACAGGCAGGGGGTACTGTGTGAGAAAGGGTTGAAAGAGGACCGAGACCCCCTTGTCTGGTTACAGATCAACTATGGTGGGGAGATCCCCAAGTCCATGTACGTGCGGGACCAGGTGAAGACACAGTATGAGCACTCGGTCCAGATCAGCCGCGGCTCCTCGCACCAGGTGGAATACGAGATCCTGTTTCCAGGCTGTGTCCTCAGGTAGGGGCAGACGCCAACCCCCCTCTGGATGGACCCTAGCTCCTCTGGGACCCATCAGACCGAGCATATGTCGGTCTTCATCCCCCTCCCCCACAACTGCATCCAGGTGGCAGTTCTCATCGGATGGGGCCGACATCGGCTTCGGGGTTTTCCTAAAGACCAAGATGGGGGAGAGGCAGCGGGCCGGGGAGATGACAGAGGTGCTGACCAGCCAGCGCTACAATGCCCACATGGTGCCCGAGGACGGGAGCCTCACCTGCGCGGAGGCCGGCGTGTGTAAGTCCGCCCTGCCTGGGCTCCAGAACCAGAAGGCTTTGTCTGCAGGAGAGAAGGGGACAGTGGTCGGGGGGCGGGGCATGGGGACCACAGGACACAGATGAGGAATAACTTCCCCAAGAGTCACACTAAGAAGCCAAGAGATGTGTCTAGGGGCTGGAGCAATAGCAGAGCGGGGAGGGTGTTTGTCTTGTATGTGGCTGACCCAGGTTAGATTCCCAGCATTCCATATGATCCCCCGAGCACCGCCAGGAGTAATTCCTGAGTGCATGAGCCAGGAGTAATCCCTGTGCAGCACCAGGTATGACCCAAAAAGCAAAAAAAAAAATAATAATAATAATAAAAGAGGTGTGTCTAGCATAGCTAAGGGCAGTGCCAGGGTCCCAGCTCAATCTTAGGGTTGCTGCAGAGCCCTAACCAGAGTCTAGGGAGCTGGACCCCGCTGAGATCCCAACCCTGCCTCGCTGGGTGGTCGTAAGGAGGTAGGCAGCACAGCTCTGGCCCAGCTTCCCACGGCACAAAAGGGCGAGCATCCATTTGGACACAATGGGATGCTGTGGCCATTGTTCCCATTACCAGTTGGTGCAAACAAAGCCAGGGCTGGCCCTATGCCAGGAGGCTAGTTGTCTGCATACAGGCTGTGCCCAGGGCTGACGGTTCCCGGGGGAGTGGTGGGAACTCGGCCCAGCCTGGCAGACTAAGTGGGGACACAGCATGCTCTCCTCACCCGTGGCCTTGGGAAGGTGGTGCGGAGGGTGTGAAGCCAGGCCTAGCTGCCCTTGTGTCTCTCTGTGCCCCCAGATGTCCTGCGCTTCGACAACACCTATAGCTTTGTCCATGCCAAGAAGGTCAGTTTCACGGTGGAGGTGCTGCTCCCGGACGAGGGCATGCAGAAGTACGACAAGGAGTACACGCCGGTGTAGGCGCTCCGCTTCTCAGACCCGAGACCCTCTGCTCTCTCTGTCTCTGTCTCTCTGTCTGTCTCTCTCTTTGTCTCTCTCTCTCTCTCCCCTCCCCACCCCAGACACAGACCATTATTCGCCCTCCTGACATCGTGACAGTAATAGGAAAAGAACTTCTTGTGGGAGATTAGACTGTGGTCGGATCGGGAAAGGGATGAGAGGCATGGCCCTGAGGATACTGTTGAACGGGGCTGGGGGGTAGCAGGCAGAGGAGCAAGACGCAACTGTCACTCTGAACCCGCTAGAAAGAGGAATAAGAACCGCTGGGCTCTGTCCGCACTCCTAAAAGCGTGTGTTTGTGCTGGAGTTCCTCCCCCGCAATGAGCCCAGAGCAGCAGGAGTTGGAAATGCATCTAAATCCCTATTCCTTAGGCTCCTTAGCTAGTCGATGGTCACTGTGTGCTTGTGGAGTTGTGGGGAGGTGGGAGGCAGGTGGTCATGGGTGGGCGGCGGGATAATGAGCCCCACAGGCAGGTTTCAGCACCGAGGACAGGGACAGCGCCTTGGCGTGGATGGGCTCGCCCAGAGTCCCAGAGGATCAGCCCCCAGACTTCTGGCCCTGGTTGCCCCCTTGAGCGGGCAGTAAATGCCTACATCAGCCTTTCACTTAGAGCAGATGGCTTTCCAACCCAGCATTCTCACCCAGGCCCCTTGCTTTGCAACTCACTCACGGCTCACGTTTTGAGCAATTCAAGGAACGTTTCCGGGAAGCAAAAGGAAGGCAGCCCTGGCTCTTGCTGCCACCTGGAGATGATAATAAAGCAATCACAGCTCTCGCAGGGTGGCGCTGTCTGTGTACCCCTCGTGTGGCCACTCATGTGGCCCTTCACGCTTACGCCTCCCCCAGGGCCACTAATTGTGGAGAGGGAAACCAGGGCTCGGGAGGTGAGGCCCATCGCACACTAGCAGTCACCTTTTTAAGTGACAAATCCAAGACCCGGGCCTTTCTGAGTGTCTTCTGTGGCAAGACATTGCCTTCATTGCCCTTCTATTACCGCCTCCTAAGGCAAATAAGAAGGCGCAAGGTGTTTGTCCTCGGTCTGCCAGGAGAAGCATCCTGGTGTCACCTTCCACTATCAGCATTGGGGAGTGGGTAGGGGCAGGGGGAGACGTCTGATGCTCATAGGACAGCAGGTACAATGGTGACCCCACAATTCCCCACTGCACCGTGTCTGTCCAAGGAATCTCACATCAGAACAGACCAGTGATTATGCTCCTGTTCTCAGCTCAAAACCTGGAATGCATGTACACATGCACACACACACACACACACACACACACACACACACACACACACCTGGGGGTGCTAGGAGAGAGGCTAGAGCTCCAGAGTTTGAGTTTCTTTTGGGCATCCTGCTCCAGGCCAGGGGCCTGGAGATGTTGGCACACTCCTGAAAACTCCTGGATCCTCACGGCTGTTGGCAGGAGAAGCCCGCTTACCAGGAGGATGGGGCAAGTGGGATCACAAGACTTGGCTGGTGCCCTGAGAGGCTCCTGGGAGGATGTGGGGATGGGGAAAGAGCCCCCACCCCACAGGCAGAGGATGTGGCTGACTCTGAGACATCCACATCCACGCCAGTCAAGTGGCTGCCACTGTCTGCTGCCCTCATGGCCGTAGGTTCTTACCTCCTGCAGAAATGGGGGATGGAGAGATAGTACGGCAGGAAAGTCACTTGCCTTGCACTCAGCCGAGTCTAGTTCAATCCCTGGCACTTTATATGGACCAATGAACCCTGCTGGGAGTGACCTCTGAGCACAGAGCCAGGAGTAATCTCTCCGCACCACCGGGTGAGACCCAAAAAACAACCACAAAAAATAATGCTAGGGGCAAGAGCAATAGTACAGCAGGTAGGGATATTGCCTTGCATGTGGCTAAGCTGGGTTTGATCTCTGGCACCCCATCTGATCACCCACCAGGAGTGATCCCTCAGCATAGAGCCAGGAGTTAAGTCCTGAGCATGGCTGGGTGTGGCCCCCACAAAAAGAAAATATTGGGGAGTGGAGCATTCCAAAAGGAGTTCTTGGGAGCCTGAGGGGGCCACTCACAACAATCCTTGGCCCTAATAACCAAAAGCCTGGACCCAGCTATGTGGTGCCACTTGAAGCCACAGGGCCATACCTGCTGATGCTCCGGGACCATGCGGTGCTTGGGCTTGATCCCGACCTCCCCAGCAAAAACAGAGGCTGGAGAGATAGTACAGCAGGAAGGGCACTTTCCTTCCACACAGCCTAATGGTTCAATCCCTGGCACCTTATATGACCCACTGATCCCTGAGCACAGAGCAGGCTTGAACCAGGCCCCCCACATGTGATGCAGATGCTCAGCCCTTTGGGTCATCTCCGGGGTCCCTTTGATAGATGGGGAACCAGGCTCCCTAAAGGCCCCAGCCTTGTTTCCCTCAATCATTGGGGGCAGAAGTCGGACTGCGACTAACTCCACCCCCGCACACCTGCTCACTCCCATCACTTACTCCGGTTACTGTAGCAACTTGCCAGAACAGGACCAGACTGGCCTGGGGATGTGGGTGGAGGGAAGCGGAGAGCGGGCTGACAAATTTAGGGGAGGAAGCAATATTTGGGACACATTTAAAACTTGCTTATCTGAAATGAATGAGGCACCTGTATTTTCTCTGGCCTCCCTGACAGATTTTGGGCCACAAAAGAAGAAGAGGGCAAGGGGTGAAACAAAGAAGAGGGGCTCATACTCTTTTGTTTGGGGAGGCACACCCGTGGGTGCTCAGGGCTTACTCCGGCCTGAGTGGTTGCTACTAGCAGGCTCAGGGGGCCATCTGGGGTGCTGGGGATCAAGACCAGGTCTGCCATGTACAAGGCCTTCTCACTGTGTTAGCTCTCTCGACCCAAGAGCGTGGGGCCAAGGGCAGGACAGGCTCCGGGGGGAGTAGATGGGGGAGAAGATGGCCCAGCAGCAGCGGTGCAGACCCCAGAAGTGCGGGGGGCTCCCTTTGCTTCCCCAGCCCAAGGGAAAGGCCCCCGGCTGCAGCGCGGTCCAAGGCAAGCAAACAGACTTGAGTTGAGCTGAATGACGCTATGGGCTGGACGCTGCACTCCTCTGAGCTCCGTGCCGGCAGCTCGCAGCCACACACTGCCAGGAGGCAGCACAGGGGGCCCAGGCCAGGGAGCTGTGAGCCCAGACGTGCCCTGGGGCATCTGCCTCTGCCAAGGCCAAGCAGGTACTCCATCTCCCATCCCTGGGAAGCTGTGCTCCCCACCCCGAGTCTCCTGTTTTGCTCTGGGCCATTTACCTGATCAGAATAGGAATGTCTGGGAATAGGCCTGCAGGGAGGACAGGGACCCCACTTTATTTTTCAAATTTGATTTTTCATCTGGCTGGAGCTGGAGCGATAGCACAGTGGTAGGGTGTTTGCCTTGCACGCAGCCAGCCCAGCCGAGCTGGGTTTGATTCCTCCACCCCTCTTGGAGAGCCCGGCAAGCTACCAAGAGTATCTCGCCCGCACGGCAAAGCCTGGCAAGCTACCCATGATGTATTTAATATGCCAAACACAGTAACAACAAGTCTCACAATGGAGATGTTACTGGGCCCGCTCGAGCAAATCGATGAACAATGGGAGGACAGTGCTACAGACTTTTCATCTGGGGTGCACACCTCGTGGTGCTCAGGGGCCAGGCTGTGTCAGGAAGGGGGCCCCGGCCTCCTGCATGTAAAGGTTCAGTCCCTTGAGCCCTTTCTCTGGCTCCTGAGACCCCACTTAGTGCCCTTGTCCAATGGGCACACCCATTCCTGCTCTGATCAGCAAACAGAGTCAGGGCAGGAAGACCAAAGCCGGGAGAGTCCTCCGTATGAGGATGGGAGTTAGACTCTGGGCTATTCCTGGGAGGAGAAAGTCAAATGGACAACTGGGGCCCAAAACTAGAGCCACTTACCTTGCAGACCCTAGGCCAAGGCAACCAACATGCAGAGAAATGGTCTCTGAGGGTCCCCGCCTCCCCCTCCACCATGCCAAGGTCCCCCTTGGGAAGCCGTGCCCACCTTGTGTAGTTAAGTCAGGGTCCTAGTACCTCAATAAAAATGATTTTAGAAAATAGTTGGGGGTGGGGCTGGAGTGATAGTACAGCGGGAAGGGTGTTTGCCTTGCACACGGCCGACCCGGGTTCGATCCCCGGCATCCTAGATGGTCCCCCAAGCACCATCAGGAGTAATTCCTGAGTGCAGAGCCAGGAGTAACCCCTGAGCATTGCTGGGTCTGACCTAAAAAGCAGAAAGGAAGGAAGAAGGAAGGAAGGAAGGAAGGAAGGAGGGAGGGACAGGGGAGAAGAAAAGAAAGGAAGGAGAAGAGGGAGGGAAAGCAGGGAAAGAGAGGAGGAGGGATAAAGGGAAGGAAGGGAGGGAGGGGAGAGAAGAAAAGTTTCTACCTGACACGGTTACCAGTGAGAGCTAAGGAGACACCAGAGCACTAGAGAAAGAGACTTTATTAAACATGCATAAAAGGGGGATTCAGTCATCTTCTGCGGCGTCTACCGCCTCCTCGTTTTCCTCGATGTTTGGGTGGGATACCCCATCATTCAACCCTTGGGAAGAGAATCTCCTCATTACTACTGGCTCCATCTCCTTGGGCTCCAGCCTGGCCAGGGCCCACCTCAGCCTGCTGCCCCAAAAGCCCAGGCGGCAGCCCTCCCTCAAGCCGAGCAGGACAAAAGTCACCAGGAGGAAGATGAGCAGCGCTGTGACGCCGCTGAAGGCCAGGCCCACCAGGAGCAGGTCCTTCAGCCTCCGGCAGGGGGCTGGGAAAGAGAGCAAGGGATTACTCAGGGCTGACAGGGCGGGGGGGGGGGGGGGGGGAGGGAAGAGCCAGGATCTCTTGGACGAAGTAAGATGCGGCTGGGCGTGTGGGAATAGGATGAACAACAATCCCTGAACCTGGGGAGCTACAGCCCAGCATGAGGGTGATGGCCTCGCACGTGGCTGACCCAGGTTTGATTCCCGGCATCGCATAGGGTTCCCCGAGCATCACCAGGAGTGATCCCTGATCACCACCAGCTGTGGCCCAACATGAAGAAAAGAGAAACAACGCCTAAAGCAAGCAGCATAGGACCCACCCTTCCCATTCCCCTCCCAACTTGTACCTACCCTTAAACCAGGGCGCTGGAAGCTTCCTGACCCTCACGGGCCCCACAACCATCATATAGGGTTCCCCCTCTTCCGGAAATTCTGTGAAGGACAGGCTGCTGAACCCACATCTTCCTCCCTGCCCCTGAGCCCCTGGCCAAGCAGCTCACTCCCTCCCCTTCTAAGCAGGTGAGTGTTTGTCCACTGAAGGGGCCAAAGGTGTCACACTTCATGTGGCTTGAGAGAAAATTACCACAAACCAATCTCTATTCACGTGGTCCTGCTCAAATTCTAGATCTGCTGTTCAAGGACAACCTCATAACTGTGGAAGAGGCCTGCAGATCTGGGGCCTATAGAATGTTCTGGAACCATGTTTCAGATCACAAGGCCATGGCCATTATAGTTAAGTGTGTATAAGGCAGATTGCCTGGCTGGTGCCCCCCTGAATTGTTTCTTAGCGAGGATCTCAGTGGGAGGCTTTCTGAAGGATCTAGATTTTTCCAGAATGGCTCTAATTTGCTTCTTTTATTTGCCTGGGGGAGGAGATATCTGTTCCCCCCTCACTGGACCTGCCACAGAGCACCCAAGTCTCTTCCTCAAAGTGCCCACGGGACAGAAGCAGGAGCTGCTGGTCACTGGCCAGGCCACAGCTAACCCTCCTCAAGCCACGGTCTCTGCACTGTC